ACATCTATTAAATCCCACTGGAGACTAGTGTTGAACAGAATTGAATCTGAGGGAAAGAGAATGGCAGGAGAGTCCTTAAATACTGATGCCCTACTTGGCCAGGTAAAATGAAAGCCAGAAATTTAATAAATACCACAGTTATAATAACTAAATAATTCATTTAGGAAAACATAATGGTAAAAAGCATTTTTAAAAAACTATAGGCAATTCTAGTACTCATTAAAAAAAGTCTTCTATTACTCATGCTGAAAACTACCCTAAAAATTGATTATAGATAGTATAAGGATAAAGTAGCTAAGTGTTAATATCATTCATATTTTAATCTTAAATATTATTCTCAAGAAATTTATTTGAACATGGAAAGAAAAACTCCAGAAACTGGATGTTTCAGATGAAGGTTAAAAAAAAAAAAAACTACAAACACTCCAATTTTTAACAGAACCTCAAACTTAACTATCTGAAATGAAACATCAGGTGTTATTCAACCTCACTATATATATATATACACACACATCTATACTATGTTTTGTTTGATCTATACATATGATATATACACATCTATACTATACTTTTGTTCTGGTGGTTCACAGAAAACATACAATGAACAGAACATATAACCATCAATGTTGTATTATACATGTGTGTTGGTATTTGTGTGTGTGTATACATCCAGTAAGACAAAATACCAGAATCCAAAATTAAAAGTAGGAAAATAAATTTTCTAGAAGTTCCATTCAAATTATGGCCAAATATAAAATACAGCCTGAATAAGATTTTATAATGCTCCTTTTAACTAGATTTTTATAATCTACATTTATATCAATTCTTTAAACATACAAAATTAACAAAATACACAATGGCAAGCAGTGATATAAAACTAATATTAGTTACTGTATGATGATTTCTGTGAATTAAGAAGTGTTTTGAATTCAGAAAATAATGGGAAATCACTTACCTCTAACTAAAGTTCTCTGAAGGTAGTATCCTCCTTAGAACCCCTATCTTGGGTAGTTTCACCTGCTGTTATTCCCCTCAAAAGACTCCAGCAAATTCTAGGAAGTTTTGAGTTGCCTCCTGCAAGCCCTATTAGCGCATGTGTGCTGAAAACCCACTCGCGTACTGCCTCCTCAATAAAACTCCCAGCTCCCACTGAATCACCACCACCGCCATCCATGTATCAATGGAGGATATTACCTTTGGAAGATTTCACTTAGAAATGTGGTTTTCAATTCTCCAAAAATATTCTCCAAATTGCTCCACTGCTATGTCTATAATGTACTTAATAGAGTGGTGGCAATTCAGTAGGTGAATAAATCATGACAAAAAAAATTAGCTAAGCAATTATATTTGCTGAATACTCATATAACAATGCAACAAAACAAGTAAAACTAGCTTCCTCAACATTCAATTAATACATAAAAAACCTAAATGTGTATGTGAAAAATCCTTCATAAAAAATACTTTTGTAAAAGGAGAAAAAAAATATTCTATATCACTTGGGTTTATCAAATGTTTTCCTGGTGTATTTTGCTAAAAAATGCCCATATTTAAAAAAGAGAAGACATAAATCATTGAAAGACAAGTGTTAACCAATTTCCAATGGTTTTTCAGTTTATCATTTCTAACTGCCAAAATAAAGAAAAAGCAAAACAAAAATGAAAAACAAAACTAGTTACTTAAACCAGAGCCAATTTCATATACCTAGGATGACAGTTTATGAGGGGTACAATTGAGTACTTAATAAAATTTTTCAAATCTATTCAGGAAGCAGACTAAAAAGTAGCGGAGGAAAAAAGGAGACCTTATCTTCTGCTACCCAGACAAGGTCTTTTACTTTGGATTTCACTCATAGATTCCATAGCTGTTTGTTGATTATTTCTGATAGCCATATAAAAGTAGGAGAAAAGAGAAAAAGGGATCAACTGTCCTATAGACCAGAGGACTAAACCATACATATAGCACTATTTTAGAAGATCAAGAGCTTTAAAAACACTGATTTTAGGAGTTCCGGCCAAGATGGAGACGTAGGTAGAAACACCTTGCTTCCTTGTACTACCAAAAGGATTAACAACAAATTTAAAAACAATACAACCAGAACTGCCAGAAAATCAAACTGCATGGAACTCCGACAACCAAGGAGTTACAGAAACATTCACCCAGACCAGTAAGAGGGGCAGAGACAGGAGACAGGCAGTCCAGCACAGAGGATGACTGCACTGGCAAGGCAGTGCTGGCTGAATCGGAAACTAAAGACTCAAAGCTAGCTGTAAAACACTGTGGGAGATATGATGGTGGGAGAAACTTCCAGTCTCACAGGAGAGTTTGTTGGAAAGTGGGGCTAGAGTGGACCAAGTTAGTGGCATTGTTCCCTCTTGGACCCCTCGCCGACAGTGTCACCACGTGGCAACCTGGGTTGTCCACCCTGATGAATACCTAAGGCTCTGCCCCTTACAATGTAACAAGTGTGCCAAGACAAAGAAATATGGCCCAAATGAAAGAGCAGAGCAGCCCTGCCTGGTGTGGCTCAGTGGATTGAATGCTGGCCTGTGAACCAAAGGGTCACTGGTTCGATTCCCAGTTGGGGTGCATGCCTGGGTTGCAGGCCAGGTCCCCACTGGGGGCCATGTGGGAGGCAACCATACATTGATGTTTCCCTCCCTTTCTTTCTCCTTCCCTTTCTCTCTCTGTAAAAATAAATAAAAATCTTTTTTTTTAAAAGAGCAGATCAAAACTCCAGAAAAAGCTAAGTGACGAGGAAACAGACAACCTATCAGATGCAGAGTTCAAAACACTGGTAATCAGGATGCTCACAGAACTGACTGAGCTCAGTCGCAAAATGAAGAAGAAATGAAGGCTACCCAAAGTGAAATAAGATAAAATATATAGGCAACCAACAGTGAAGGGAAGGAAACTGTGACTCAAATCAACAATTTGGAACAAAAGGAAGAAACATCCAACTGAACAGAATGAAGAAAGAATTAAAAAAAATGAGGAGAGGCTTAGAAACCTATGGGACAACTTTAAGTGCTCTAACATCCAAATTACAGGGGTCCCAGAAGGAGAAGAACAAGAGCAAGAAATTGAAAACTTATTTGAACAAATAATGAAGGAAAACTTCCCCAATCTGGCAAAGAAAATAGACTTCCAAGAAGTATAGGAAGCCGAGAAAGTCCTAAAAAAATTGACCCAAAGAGGAACACACCAAGACACATCATCATTAAATTACCCAAGATTAAATATAAAGAGAGAATCTTAAAAGCAGCAAGAGGAAAGGACATAGTAACCTACAAAAGAGTGCCAATAAGACTATCAGCTGATTTCTCAAAAGAAACCATACAAGAAAGGGCTAGAAAGAAGTATTCAAAGTCATGAATGGCAAGGACATATATCCAAGATTACTCTATCCAGCAAAGCTATCAATTTAGAATGTGAGGGCAGATAAAGCGCTTCCCAGATAAGGCAGAGTTAAAGGAGTTCATTACCAAGGCTTTCTTCTGTGAAATGTTAAAGGGACTTATCTAAGAAATAGAAGATCAAAACTAGGAACAGTAAAATGACAACAAACTCATAACTATCAACAACTGAGCCTAAAAAACAAAAACTAAGCAAACAACTAGAATAGGAACAGAATCAGAGAAATGAAGATCATATGGAGGGTTTTCAGTGGGGAGGGGGAGGGTAAAAATGGGGAGGTGAAGGTACAGGGAATAAGAAGCATAGTTGGTAGGCATAACATAGATGGGGAGAGGGTAAGAAAAGTATAGGAAACAGAGAAGCCAAAGAACTTATATGTACAACCCATGGACATGAACTAATGTGGTGGGGGAGAATGCTGGAGGGCAAGGGGATGCAGGCCAGAGCAGGGATAAAGGGGAGAAAAATGTTGGGAAAACTGTAATAGCATAATCAATAAAATATACTTTTAAAAAACCACTGATTTTTAGCTAAGAGCCACCATCAGCTTATAAGCATAAATAAGACCCAAACAACATCATTTTGAAGTTCTGCATTTTAGATGTCTCAGTTGGCTCTGAAAGTTTTGCCTTGCTAAATAAATGTCACTAAACACTCTCATTTTAAATATCAACTAACTCCTTCCATGACTCTCCTTTCATATAAGTAAACACACATAATGATAAAATACAGTAATAAAATTACCAAAAAGCAATTAAATGGGTAACAGGAAAAATAGGAAAATCTTAATCTCCCACTTATGTACTCAATATATAAATAAACTAACCATATATAGGTCTGATTCTTGAAATTATCTGTGCTTCTACAATGCATGAATTTAAATTAAATTTTATAAAAAAGATGTTCCTTCAAAAATGTGGCCTCTGTTGATCATAAAACAAATGTTATTTTTCCAATTTTAAAAGTGTATGGAATAGTAGTGGCCAGTGTGGCTCAGTTGGTTGGAGCATCATCCTGTAACTGAAAGGTCACAGGTTCAATTCCAAGTCAGGGCACATGCCTAGAATGTGGTTCAGTCCCTGGGTGGGAGGGCCTATGAGAGGCAACCAATGAACGTTTCTCTCTCATGTCATTGTCTCTCTCCCCCTCTGTCCCCTTCCCTTCTCCTCTCTTTAAAATCAATAAGCATGTCCTCACGTGAGGATTAAAAAAATCGTATGGAACAAAATGCCCTACAAAAAAACAACAACATATCTTCCAATGCAAACAAAGGTCACAAAAGAGTACTTATAGAATAGATTGTTTATAGAGGTAAAAATAAAGTGAAATAATCTAGTCACTTATCAGAAAGAATAAAATACTGAGCCATGAAGCAGTACACATGTGTTCACTTTCTTTTACACATGCACTATTAGGACTCACTGAAGGGTCAAAAATCTTCTAGATCTTGCTAGCTTAAATGCAGGAATGACTAACAACCCAAGAAGGTGTATCTAGGATGATACTTACCTTATGATAGATTATACCACTGTGCTATTATGTATTCTGCATATGGATACAGAAGCAGTCAGCGGAAAGGTACACACCACACTAGCAAATGCTTGGCTGGACCCATAAGGTCGGATGACCAATGGAATATCAAGATATGTGTCGATTCTCCAGCCCTCGTAACCACATTCCAGACATCTTACGTAGTCCTTCAGCTTGCCTTGATATAGTTCATTTATAAGATCAGCCTAAAAATAAGAACATTTACATTTTAAAGTGTAAAAAGTAATTTTTAAAGTATGTAAAAACACAATTCATGCTTTTAAAAATGAAATTTCAAAAAGATATTCATTTTGTTGAACTTCTAAGAAAGCTTTAAGATTTACCTAAAATCCAATGGAAAAAAATCAAGGCTTGATAAAAATCAACTAAAAATAAATAAAATTAGATTAACACTAATTTAAAAATCAATGTAGAAAAATTAACTACTTCAATTCTTATATAAACACCCCACTATTAAAAAATGTTCTGTTGAAATCAATTACCAATTTATTATACTATTAAGCTTCATATCTTTTCAGTTAGCTGAAAATACATCCTAATCTATCACTTTAGACATATTAATAATTAAAGTTAAACAATTAGCTGTTTTTATAGCTTTATATATGCATATCACCACTCTTACAATATTGTATTCTGATTTCTAAAATCCTATCTGCTAGCTAAAATAAAACTTTTTAACTTTCAGTTAACATATGTAAAACAATTTTAAGGAAGATTATAACTTTTTAAAAATGTATGGGAATAAAAAAAAACACCTTAAATTCCATCTCCCTTAAAATATCCTCACCTAAAAGAATGGATTTCTCACCTAGTCCCCCAAACTTAGCCAACTAGGACTGTTCTGGCCCCAAAAAAGGCACATAACTTCCTAAGTAAGGACCCTCCATGTGAATGTCTTGCCTCAAGATTCTTGCACCCAAACTTTGGAACACAGTAGGAATGCTCCAGCTGATCTAAATGAAAAGTGTTAACCCAAAGAAGGATGTAACAAGAAGAATATCTTCAGAAAAAGAAACAGGCCACTAGTACCATCTACATAAATTACTAAAATACAATCCCATGGGGTTATGTAGAGAAGCTAGATCACTAAATAAACTTAAAATTTTTTTTTCAAATCTCTTAAGAATTGAAAAGAAATCACATTGCAGTTTACCTCTTTCATAAATTTACATCTCTTCAAATGTCTAGGTCTTAAATCAAGCTAGGATCCACCATCACTGTCTACTCTAATTAATTTAATGAAGCCTTCTTCATTCACCTGCCCCAGTCACATTTGATTTTGTCTTCTGTATCATTTCTAGTGGTTCAGTCCTGTGTTTTTCAGTTTTGATAGTAACCCACAGAAAGAAAATAATTTCCATTGCAACCCAGTATATATAATTGTAACAAAAGTTACATAACAACAATACTTGTCCTCACTTATGTGATACTCTCTGACATTTTTCTACATTTTCTTTTAAGTGCTGACATAGATTCACTAAACTGATTTCATAACCCATGAATGGATCACAATCTATAGTTTAAAAAACTCTGGCCCAAGCTATCATAATAGTTTGAAGGAGACATCAGACCCTCCAGGCTCCTGTCTAGATTCTCCACCTGCCCCACTTTGTTAATCCCTATCATCCTCTATTACTACATCCACTAGTTACCCCTCATCCCAATGGCATATCTGATATTTTTCCATCTTCTAAACCTGTTCCATCTTCCATTGGATAAGAATAGGGTCAGAATAACAAAAATTCGAAACATCAAAAGCATATGACTGACTATATCTCATTGCTCAAAACAAAGGTAATGCTGGATGAATATACTTCATAATGTGCTACAGACTGTAGCATAGTTTACTTAGTAAATATCTGAAAATATTGTTCAAAGACCATCCCCCTAAATTATATATACATATGTAGAATATATGAGTTATAGTTTTTAGCTAAAAAGAAACTATCTAGATAATAGAGCCCAACTTCCTCATTTTTAAATATATTTTATTGATTATGCTATTACAGTTGTCCCTTACTCCCCCTTCATTCCCCTCCACCCTGCATACCCTCTCCCACCCACATTCCCTTTAGTTCATGTCCATGTGTCGTAAGTTCTTTAGCGTCTACATTTCCCATATTGTTCTTGTCCTCCCCCTATCTATTTTCTACCTAACATCTATGCTACTTATTCTCTGTACCTTTTCCCCCTCTCTCCTCCTCCCACTCCCCTGCTGCTAACCCTCCATGTGATCTCCAGTTCTGTGGTTCTGTTCCTGCTCTAGTTGTTTGCTTATTTTGTTTTTGTTTTAGGTGTGGTTGTTAATAATTGTGAGTTTGCTGTCATTTTTACTATACATGTTTTTAATTTTCTTTTTCTTATCTTCTTTCTTAGTTAAGTCCCTTTAACATTTCATAAAATAAGGTCTTGGTGATGATGAACTCCTTTAACTTGACCTTATCTGAGAAGCACTTTATCTGCCCTTCCATTGTAAATGAAAGCTTTGCTGGATAGAGCAACCTTGGATGGAGGTCCTTGCCTTTCAGCTTGGAATACTTCTTTCCAGACCCTACTTGCCTGCAAGGTCTCTTTTGAGAAATCAGCTGCCAGTCTAATGGGAACTCCTTTGTAGGTTACTGTCTCATTATCTCTTGCTGCTTCTAGGATTCTCTCCTTCATTTTAATCTTGGGTAATGTAATTATGATGTGCCTTGGTGTGTTCCTCCTTGGGTCCAACTTCTTTGGGACTCTCTGAGCTTCCTGGACTTCCGGGACTTTCCTTTGCCAGATTGGGGAAGTTCTCCTTTATTATTTGCTACTGTTCCACTTGTTGCTCTTCCTCTTCACCTTCTGGTACCTGTATAATTTGGATGTCAGAATGTTTAAAGATGTCCTGGGGGTTCCTAAGCCTCTCCTCATTTTTTTTGAATTCTTGTTTCTTCATTCTTTTCTGTTTGGTTGTTTATTTCTTCCTTCCTTCTGGTCCACTCATTGATTTTGAGACCCAGTTTTCTTCCCATCACTACCGGTTCCCTGTGCATTTTCCTTCATTTCACTTAGTGTAGCCTTCATTTTTTCATCTAATTTGCAACCAAATTCAACCAATTCTGTGAGCATCCTGATCACCAGTGTTTTGAACTATGCATCTGATAGGCTGGCTCTCTCTCGGTTGCTTAAAAGTATTGATTCTGGGCTTTCATTTGTTTTTCTGTTTGAACCATCTCTTTTTGTCTTGTCGCACCTGTGATGTATGAGGGGTGGAGCCTTAGTTGTTCACCAAGGCAGGGCAACCCAGTCGCTGGATTGTGACGCTGTATGTGTGGACGGAGTCCAAGAGGAAACAATGGAACTTGCTCTGCTCTCCACTGCTTCCCCCAAGCAAACTGGGCCTTTCTGGAGCCAATTCCCGTGTGGGTGGGCTTGGGCACCACATGGGTCTTTCCAGTGACCTCTCCTGTGAGGCTGGGAGTCTCTCCCTGCACTGCAACCCCCCACAGGTGTTTTCAATCAGTGCCCCGAAGCCCTATTTCCCTGTGCTGGGACCCTGGGACTGCCCGGGTCAGCCAGCCACCTTGCACACAGTGCTTTGCTTCATAATTGCCACCTCACTGGGTCTGCCAGTTGCCACCCCTCGGCCAGGGCCTGCCAACCGCCACTTGCGCACCCAGGGTTCGCCCTCTGCGGTCTTGCGTGCCTGGGATGCCTTACGCAGGTTCCAATGCTCTACGTTCCTCAACCCCTCTCCACCTGGCTGCCCAACTCCACCCTTCCTACCGATCTGGATGAACCTATCTACTTTAACTCTTTGATTATCCAACTTCTTTACAGTTCAATTTTCTATCAGTTCTGGTTGTTATTCTGTTTCTAAATTGTTGTTGTCCCTATCTTGGTTGTGCGAGGAGGCACAGTGTGTCTACCTGCGCCTCCACCTTGGCCAGAAGTCTCCAACTTCCTTATTTTAAAATAAAGATGAGGAAACTGAGGTTTATAGTGGTTTAGTGAGAATTTTTATGACTCAGTTAGTGGCCAACTGAGAATCTAGCATTTTTACCTCCCCATTTTAGCACCTTCACAATTGAACTATGACCAAGCCAAAACATTCCAATAGAACAGAAGTCACTTTAAGGTAATAAATGATTTATTAGAAAACACTCGCATCACCTTGAGAGAATTACCTGTTCTGTTTGTTTCCACTTCTGCTCTAAAGCATCAAACATGACTCTGCACAGTTCTTGTACATCATGCTGCTGCCAAGCTATTTTGAGACAAAAATTAAAAATAGCAGTAAGTTTAGTGTAATAAAACATTAATTTATTATTTAAAAACAAATTTGTCAGATATATTCAGAAGTCTACACAAAATAATGCTAAATTTCAAAACAACATGAAATATACATTACAATCATTAAAAGGCAGTCACAGGAAAAGAATAAAGGGGTCTCAGCATTTACACATAACGTACACTTTACAGTCCTATGTATGATATTGGCTATTTTCATTATTTTTCACTAGAGTTACAAAAAAGATGACAAACTTTAAAATGTTTAAGTGCATGCAAATAGAGTATAACCAAATTTATTTTACAGAAAATTTTTAACTGATCAAAAATTTACCCCTCAGAATTTAAATTTTAAAAATAAGTTGTTTTTAAACCCCAGGAAAAAGCAATGAAAATGTTTACAAAGTTAATTATGTTCTTAACATAAATGTTGTGTTATTTTGTTCTTTGTTTATAATACTGTCTGCCAGAATTCCTTTGAATATTAGAAATACTTATCATTACAAGAGAATTAATACCCTCACTACTATCCCATCCAAAGCTCCTTGTAACATCAGTGGTTTCAATTGCTCTCTTTTTACTTGTTTGTAACAAAACAAAAAGCCTTTGTAGTTGATATGGGATACTTGTCACTGGATCTTCTTCAGATTCTTCAAATTCCCACCTATTAAAATAAAATGATTGAAAATTATTTATAAAACATTTTTATTCTTTAAAGCATAATTAATATTAACACCACAATGTCAGATCCTATGTAGAGTTTGAATATTAACTGAAGCTATTACTTTGTAATGAAACATTAATCTTTTTCCAATTCATAAATTCAGAAGAAACTTAGACTTTAATAAGAAAAGACATAAGAAAGCAACATGAATGAAAAGTAACTGTTGAATTTGAATCCAATCAGGATTCTTGTCCTAATTATTAACTCACAAAAAAATACAAGAAATAGAACAATATTAAATGACACCATGGCATTCAATCATCAAAATCCAAACTTGCAAACTACAGGACAAATGACATCAGTTATAGATATATATATATACACACACACATATATATGTGTATATATGTATGTATATATTTTTCTATTTTCTATTTTTTTCAAGGAAGAAATTACAAGGGGAAAAAGACAAAGAAATTAAAAATAGATTAAGTGTCTTATCAATCAATTTCAATACATAGATGCTATTTGGATCCTAATTGGAACAGATTGTTTAAAAAAATTATGGGGCAACCAGGGAAATCTTCGCATTGACCTGAGATATACTTCACAGATGGTATGATGGGGGCATGCTTCCAAAAAATCAAGAGTGGAGGATTATAGATAAAAAAGATTGATCATGAGTTGATAATATTCAAAGCTGGGTGACAGGTACAGAAAATTCATTCCAGTATTTCACTACTTTTAATGTTTGAAATTTTCCATAATAAAATGTTTTAAGAAGAGAATATAAGTAAATAAAATAATCCAGATACAATATGTACCCTCATATATTTCTGATAAACATTAGTCTAGCCCTGACTACAGGGACTGTCTGAATAACAAGCAAATTTCTAACAAAAGACCTTAAGATCAGATTCAAAAAATAATATTGGTGGGATCAAAGTTTGTAATGTACCCACAAAAGTCCTTAAAGTAATTTACATATAATAAAATGCCAAAGACAACATTAATATTAATAAGGATTATATTAATGGTTATCTTTATCTTGAGATGTCAATAAGATTATTATTTTCCACTTCCTCACTCAATTCTTAGAATCTTTTTAGATTCAAAAGGAGCCTGGAACATAACTTTCCTATAATGCAACTTACAAGTATACTAAAAATCTTTCATTTTTTTCTTCTTTTGGTATGGCTCTCTGTTAAAATATTCAATACTTTTCTTATTTGATGGCTTAGAAGTTGCAGCTCTGGGATCCTGTTCCTTTTTTTTTTTTTTTTTTACACACTGAAGCTCCCTTCTGTCTTGCAGATGTCAGTGGAATACATTTTGTTTTTTCCTTCTCAAAGCTTCCCTGCGAACACCTCTACTCATTATCCAATCTTGTATATTCAATCCCTAGCTCTCTTTTATTCTTATTTTTCTCAATAGAAGGAAGTTGTACTTGACATTATAGGATCTAAAATTCTCCCAAGAGCTGTAAAGAAACTGTGAAGTCAAAATAAAGAATGCTTTAATTTCTTGCCAGGAAAATTCACTAGTGGGGAGGAATTACTGTATACAAAGCTGAATTCTCACCTGTCCTTTAGTCCTGGTGCAAATACCTTAAAAAGGTCTTAAATCTTGTTGGTACTTGCTGTTACTCCAGTCAGCTAAATTAGAAACTTTGGTGCCATATTTGATTCTTCCTTTTCCTTTACTCCTAAATAAAATTTGTCACTAAGTCGTATCAGTTTTCAATCTGAAATATAATAAGCACTACCACCAGCTTCATTCTGAGCCTCATACATCTGTGCCAGGTTTAATAACAGATTCCTCCAGGGTTCCCTTATCTTTCAAATCAATTCTGCATGCTGCAATATATAAACTTTCCCGAAACAATGTATTTAACACATCACTTACATGCCTCCACACCTAAAGCAGCAGAGTCTCTGTTGACTATCGTACAACAAGCAAAGAAAAGAAAGAAATAAAACTCTATCCTTTCATGCCAGTGCTACCCTGTCTATAGTGCAGGGAGGCCCAGCCTTTTTAACAAGTCATCCCCCTTCCTAGGGTCTACATTAGGAAACAGCATTAGGCTCTCAGGCTTTGCTTCCCAGCTGGCAACAAACATCACTCTATTCTCACCATCCCCACAGCATTTTGCCTTCATGTTTAACCTTATGTCTCGCTTCCCCTCCTCACTCACTGGTCTCCAGACACAATGGATTTTTGTTCCTCAAAGGCCTTTGTACTTGCAGTTCTGTCTGTCTTGAATGTTCTTCCCCCAGATCTTCACAAGACTGGTCCCTGTGAAGTCTATTCACATGGTAGGTAGTTCCTTAGAGAGGAATTCCCTGACTTCTCCACCTGCTGACAGTTACTCTTTCCACATTGTCCTGCTTTATTTTCTTTGTTGCATACATGACTATGTAAAATGAACTCATTTATATAAACTGACTTATGGAAGCTTGAAGGGAGGGCCATTGTCTTAGATTCACCACTGTAATCTCTGTGCCTTAAAGAGTGCTTAACACACAGTAAGTACTGAATATTAATTTGCTGAGTGAGTAGCCCTGGCTATGCTTAGTCTTCTCCACAATACTATGTATTTACAGACCATTTTCAGGGATTAAGTCTCATGATTAATCAAACTCCTGGGATCCCCATTCCCTCCCATGCCCTGCTTGCCAAAGCAGGCACAACACCCTAGACTGTTCAGTTTGTTCTAGTTTTCAGGGCAGGTTCCCAACTTCATCTATTAACCTCAACTTCCAGTACTCTTGACGAAACTGCAATTATGCTATCTCCTGGAGGCCCCTAGGACATACATATTTATTGGCATCAGCTATAACATAGGCAGTATAGGGAAAAGGATTGTGACATGCACCTGGTGTGCCACTTCTAGCATGATGGACTCTAGCAAAGTACTTAACCTCTCTGTGCCTTCAGTGACCTCCTTTGTATAATGTGGATAATAACATTGTATAATTCATACAGTTACCATAAGAATTAAATGAATCTATATGTAAAGTGCTCAATACAGTATCTGATACAAACTAATAACTAACTTTCAAGTAGCACTTACTAGTGCTCGTTTTTGCTCTTGAAAGTATCCCCATCTGCAGTACTTTCTCTATCTTTCCAACCTGGCCAAATCATACCTAGCTTTATGACCTCAAATTCTACTTTCTACACTAAGCCACTTCTCCACATTTCATTAATCTCCCTTCTTTCTAAACTCTCATGGTATTTAGCTATCCTTAGATGTTATTGAAACTATTTCATAAATACACATGTTGCTATTGATGTATAGAGATCTGTGACTTAAGAACAAAAAGACCTTACTCCATCTCTAACCACCAAGTGGCTAGTACACATAAACGCTACTGGGTAACAAATACTTGCTGAATGAAAAAGATAACTTTTATAAGTAAATTGAGCTTACATATGAATGCAATAGTAGTATGTTGTTTGAACAATACAATAATATTAAAAGTTTCCAAAATACTTTAAATACATATTTATAGTAATTTCAAAGATGTTACTAAAAAATTACATGAAAAAGGAAAGAAATCAGTTTATTTGTACTTTAAAATGTCTTTTAAGTTAAAAGTAGAAGTTTGGTACATCTTAAAGGAAATATAAAAGGCAAGGGTATGTTAATAAACAAGGATGTGTAAATAAACTTTAGAGTTTATTTACTTATGGACTTCCTTCATAAAGCATTTTAAAATATCTGATGTATATGGAGTCTTTTAAAAACACACATGCAAACACAAAACACAGAACAGATGCTTCATATATTAATTAGAAACAAAGTTTGCATGTTTAAAAAGACAACTTTGTTTCTTAAATTGAGAAGTGAAGAGAAAGAAGATGTGGCTTACATATTCAGATTATCTCAAAAAGCAGGTAACATATTTCTTCATAAAGGTGTTAAAGCTTTAAGAAAGAGAAGCTTATAAACAATAGTTTATCCCAAATGTAAATCCCATCAATTTACCCCTTGCTGTCTATGCATTTCTGATTCTCTCTCTCCATAAATTTTTCATATGCCAATCTCTCATAAAAATCATTTTCTTATATACTATTCTGGTGTGTCTTATGAAGTAAGAAATACCCCAAACTTTACAAACAACTGTACAAAGATAAATTAGATTTTATTCATTAAAAACTATATTTTATTTATAGAATTTAAAAAATACTTACTTATATAATGCATTTCTAAATTCAGGAGTCATAAAAAGTGTTTGCAAAAGGCTATTCAAATAGCAAGTCATTGCTTGGTTTACTAATCCCACATATCCTTTAAAAAGAGAGCACAAAATATATATGAGTCAGCATTTATATTAAAAAATAACAAAGGAGAACTTATTACAAAGTTAAAACAGTACAAACTGAGAGGTTAAGGGTACTTTGGTGGAAATTATTTTCACTTTTTTCAACAGCACCTAAGAAATATGTGCACTATGTACACTTTGCTTCTCAGAAAGTCAGGATATCTTGTTATATGTCCAGTGGTACACATGAATATTTGGTAGCATTTAATAAAACTTGAAGAGAAATATGTTTAATACCATATGTTTAATTGACATAAAAATAATCTTTGTTCCCCAAATCTGAAAGTTGTGGTTTAAAAATAAAAAGGATAAACATACTCACTTTAACTAGCATGCCTGCCCAATCTAGGAAGGCAGAACTGATCCAGCTATCCCTGTTATCAGGTCCTATAACCCAATTTCCTATCAAGAATTAGTAACATGAGATAAACTCATTATACAAAAACTCAGAATGACTTCCTCTATTTTAACAAGCCTAGTAATTGTCAGATTCTATAGGTCAGCATGTTATACAAAGAGTGACTATAAAGTAAGAAGAGAAGAAGACAGGAGTGGAAGTAGGGAAGATCAGAGGGATGGCAGGAAAAAAGGAAAAGGAGAAACTTCTATGAACTTAAAATTTAAGCTGAGGAGATTAAGGGTATTGGGGAAGATTGTGTCTTGGTAGTTTGAAGCCACAGAGGAAGTTCATTAAATGCTCACAAGTGCTTTTCAAAAATGATATTAATAAAATAAAAGTATTAGCTTTCTATATCCACCCGGATATAGCTACCACTGTTGAGAACATTTTAGGAACTTTTCTTTACAAGTAGACCAAAGGCCCAGTTTATGAGATGTACATATACTTAAAAAAATCAAGAGTCACCATTTTAGTTATACCTCATTATTTGAGCAAAATGTAGTAAATACTTTGCCTAATAATTAAACTTATTTACTCTTACTTAATACTGAATAACTTGATTGTCTCAAAAAAACCTTAAATCTGCCCTGGCCGAGTAGCTCAGTCAGTTAGAGCATCACCCAGATATGTCAAAACTGCAGGTTCGATCATGGTCAGGGCACGTACAAGAATCAACCAATGAATGTATAAATAAGTGGAACAACAAATCGATGCCTCTCTCTCTCTCCCCTCCACCACCCTGGTCTTCCTCTCTCTCTCATGCGTGCTTAAAAGAAATCAGTAGAAAAAAGAAAAGAATCAAAACTTAAATCCTTTCTCAAAAGATGCTGAAGGTGTTCAACTAAAGCTTTTCAAAAGCTTTTCAGTTCTCCCAACAATTATTTAAAAATGTTTTTAGAAATGACAGGCTGTGTGGATAACTATATTGCCAAAGAAAGCAATGAAAGGACCAAAAAATATGCCTGATGAACCTTGGTCAGCTGGGAAAAAGAGGAGTAGATTTCACACTATTTGCACCTGCACAATTCTAAGAGACCAAGCTGCTACCACCTTTCACTTTGGACAAAAGTTCAAGCTTTGATTTGGAAAGGCTTTCACCTTTGTTTTAAGAACACTGTGTTTATATAGTTTATTTTACATTTTTTATAATTATAAATTGCTTCAATTACTACCCATCCCCCACATGAGTTTTTTTCTTAACACCCCATCCTAAATCTATATGAGAGACTTTAATCTCACTATTCTAAAATTACTTATTTACTCATATTTCTTCCTCATCAGACTTTAAGGGCGGGGTTCGAACCTGCAAGTAATGGGTGCACATGAAGGGGAAGAGTATATGATTTACAAGTAACTCAAGTCCGTATGATATCTAGCCTGATTATTAATAATTAAAAGTATTATTTCATTCTTCATATAAACAGACCCTTTCCCACAAAAAACAAAAACAAAAAACAGTGCTATAGTCAGGAGACCACTGTACACATAGCTTTAAAAATACTACTATTGTCTTTTGTGCACCTATAGACCAATCATGTATCATTTATTTGTGATCTTTAAAGATTTACAGTAATTTCTTAAGGAAAATGCAAATTCAATAGTGACTAAAATAGTAAGAGTTTTTAACTTAAATTTTATTTTTTCAATTACAGTTTACATTCAATATTATTTTGTACTAGTTTCAAGTGTATAGCATAGTGGTTACACAATTATATACATTACAAAGTGTTCCCCCAGTGTTTCCAGTACCCACCTGACATTACACATGATTATTACAATGTTACTGACTATATTCTCTATGCTGTGCTTTACATTCCTATGATTATTCTGTAACTGCCAATTTGTACTTATTAATCCCTTTACATTTTACCCAGTGCCTGGATTCCCCTCCCCTCTGGCAACCATGAGTCTGTACCTATTAGTCCATTTTGTCTATTCATTTATTTTGTGTATGGTATTTGTCTTTTGCTAACTGACTTATTTTATTTAGCATGATATGTTCTAGGTCCACCCATGCTGTCACCAATATCGAATAGTAAGATTTCAGTCTTTTTCATGGCCAAGTAATATTCCATTGTCTATATGTACCACTGCTTTTTTATACACCTGTCTAGTAACCAAAATGAATTTTGAAGTATAGCTCCCTGGGATGCTTACAGACTGTTTCAATTCAGAAAGGCAGTGCTTCAAAATACTGGAGAAAAAATACAGGTAGGAAGAAGGAGTGGAGCAGAGGTGTGCGAGGTACAATAATTGGAAATAAAGACTATGATTATATGGTAATGTATTTCAAAGGCCTCTAAATTTTTTAAAAATAAATTTCAACTTAGTAATTCAATTTCTGGGAAATTACCCTAAGGAAATAATCTGAGATGAAAATAAAAACTTACGTAAAAGAGTGTTCATTATGAAACCAGTAACGGACAGTTTAAAAACCTAAACCATATACTAAAACACTAATTTTCAGTCATTTTAATTTTCAACCTCATACTAAAATACTACTTAATAATTGAAAAATGCTCCCCATATAGTATTTAAGTAAAAAATATATAGACTAAAAATTTGCTATCATGATTACCTTATTTTCCTAAAAGCACACATGTAGGGAAAGACATAAATAAGCAAACCACTACAAGTAGTTTCTGCTAGGAGTACTATCAGTTATTTTCACTTTTTTATTTTATTGTATGTCAATAAATATGTATTATATTTATATAATCAGAGAAAAGGCATTTTAAAAGAATGTTTTAGTCTTTAGAAATTTATGGGCATCAAAGAGCCATATATACACATCACAAAGTAGGAGTTTTGTAAACACTGTTTGTGGAAAGGCTGAACTGGATGTCAGAATACAAAGCAAATATTTTAACAATCTTGATGTGTTAAATCTGGAATTTTCTCGGTATTCCAACTATCTCAGAATAATCTAGGATGCTCATTTAAAACAAAATGCAATTTATCCAGCCTGCTCCAGAGCAGCTAAATCAGTATTGCTTTGGAACCTATTAACAAGTATCCCCAAATGATTTTTTAAAAAATAAAAATTTGAGAATCACTATCATAGGCAGTGTAATAAGAAGTAGCCTTATTGTCTATTATCTGAAACAAAAGATAATTTTGAATTCCTTCTTATTCTTGGTAGTCTACTACAAAAAGTTCTGCTGATATAAACCATCCTAAATACCAAACATGACCAGCTTTTACTGCAATTTCAGAACAAATACAACATTTAAGCCTGAACAAATTATTAGCTATGAGAAAATTATTCTGTATTTTAATTATAAAATATAGTAAATGGAAGATTACAGATCACGTTCAAACTCAATGTGCAATGTAACTCAATAGTTTTCTTATTCCAGATATTTGTATGCAATATTTCAAATCATCTGTTCTGAAGTTCTAAGAAAAAAGGTTCAAAAGGCATACTGAACATCAACTAGCTACAAAATCAAAGGCTTTTCTGTACCCCAGTTTCCATTTATTTTAATATGAATAATACCATCTACTGCAAAGGTCTGTTGTAAGATGAAATGATATGTAAAAGTATGTATGTACATTTTATTTTTAGGCAATTTACCAATCATATGTAAGGGAATAGTGTTTATATTTAAAAATCAATTTCACTAGCTCAATAAATTGAAAAATTTCAAAAATCTAGGTTTAATCATGTTTGGAAAAAAGTTAACAGAACTTTTAAATTACAAGATTAATGTCGAATATATGATTAGATTAAACTGAAAGATAACATAGTGGGTCTAATAAAATAAGCCTGGCCTATCTGCTTTAAAATGCAAGTATCCTCCACAGTCTACTGTAATCCAAAAGAAGATAACAAGAGACATTCCTTTCCAAGGAAGTCAATATAAAAAATTTAACGTTAAATTCCAAATAAAAACTTACCAAAAATAACAGTTCCTTCAAAATACAAATTCAATATTTTTTATTTTATTACTAAATAGTGCCAGTAAGAATATGGTAAAAACAACAAGTTGAGGAAAACGGACACCACATTCTTATTCTAATTTTGCTTCTGCTAACCACTGATCTTACTCTGGGTCTCAAGTTTTGTAATCCACAAAATGAGGGGATTAGGTTTGAAACTGCTGATATTACTCTGGGCTAGTGCCCTAAACTTCATGAAAATACAGCAAAGACAAATCTTACCAGTTTCTGACTTATTCAATATAGATGAATAGGAGTAGCTTTGGCTGACATAATCATTGGTAGAGCCCACAGAACCTTCTCTTGGAAGTGGCCCTATAAATCTGTCATGGACACTGTCATCCCCAGCACTGGAATCCTCCTAAAATGCAACATAACCAATATTTACTAAACGGCAAATGTTGTTGAAACAGGAAAAACAAAAACATACTAATAATCGCTGAGGCAAGGAAAAAAACACGAGGCATTATTATTACTGTTACCAGCAAGATATTTAAAAAAATGTCTACTCTGAATGTTTCCGGTAGAGCTGTTTGAAAGATGGCTGATATAAAACACTTTGGAGAGGTGCTTATGTCTCCTTCCTGAGTTCTTACTTTCTCAATTTTCTTTTCTTTTTTTAAATGGATTTTATTTTTAAATATCACAGACATTTTATTTTATTACATTGTTGTTCAGTGTAGTCATCTAGCTCCATTTTTACCCTACCTCAGCAACCCCCCCACCCATCCCCACTTCCCACCCTTGAACCCACCCCCTTTGGTGTGTCCATGAGTCCTTTACACATATTCCTTGATGGACCTTCCCCTATTTTCCCTCATTATCCTTCTCCTCCCACCCCTCTGGTTACTATCAATTTTCTTCAATTATCTTTCAAATTTCATTTACATGAGAAGAAGATTTGTTGGTACTAATAAATCAAAAGTACCATCATGAATTACAGAATCTATTGCTCATTTTTACATCATCCTTGCCAACAGGCCTGGCTGGTAGGGGATACTAGTGTAGTAAGTGTTGAATCGAATGGGTAGTTTCCTTACTGTCTCTAATAAAAAATCTCCCATCAATGAGAAAAATGTTGAAAAGGACTTAAGATATAAAATCAGTGCAAACAATTAACATAGAGCTGAAGTTAATTACTATGAATTTTAAAATATGAATTCCCAAATTGTGAATCCAGAGGTTCTAAAATTTTTAGCTGATTGCAATGTCAAACTAATCAAAATCTTCTCATAATGTTACAAAAATCAATGAGATCTTAAAAGGTTGGAGGGTATATTTTAATATTGCTTCAGTATGGATACCCTATGTTTAATTACTACCTACTGTGCAGAGAGGCATTATACTTCACAATAGGCTTCTAAAGGAAAAGCATCACACAGAACTTTTCCTAAGGAAAGTTCCACTGAAGAGAAGAGTTCTGAAAAAGTCCATGAACTCTGAGCCTCCCTTTCTTCAGTCCATAAAATAGCAAGGTTAAATCAGACCAAGTTTTCTCAATCGTTTTTTAAAGAATGCCACCTGAATTGGGAATTACTGGGTTTAATCATCTCTAAGACCACTACACCAGACAGGAAATCATTTCAAAATATGAATTGGAGTCAACACTAAAAGAATAGAAATATATCATATAATTTACAAACTATTCATTCTCCCAAAAAGCAGGAATGGGGGTGGGTAGTGGGAGTGAAAATGGCAGAGTAGAGAATTCTGGGGGGGTCTGCCCCTTCTCCAAAATACCAAAAAATGTAGGGCAAAACTGTCAAAGATTTACAGCAACCAAGCAAATGCTTAACCAAAGGAAAGGGCACCAAAGCACAGTAGGAGATCTTCGTGTCACTTTAACTTATCCTATCCTAATCCCACCCCCATCCCTGTTGTGGTGGTGGTTTTGAAGATAGCAACCTGTGTTCCCCATGGCAACAGGCCATATACACAAACAACAGGGCTATGGATGCCCATTGTAGCCATGTGAACATCTACACTGTTAACAAACCAACATACTTTATTATAGTCAATTATATTTTTCTCTAAATAAATAAATTTATTTTTCTATAATAAATTAAATACATAAATTAAAAACACTCCTTCTTCCTTTGGAAAACTGCTTCCCAAGTAGTAGGTAACAATGCACAAAAAATATGAATGGCTTTCTAGTTTACCAGCAGTATTTGAGGCTGTTCACCATCTTTATCCGTTAAGTGCAGAAAGTTCTTCTTTCCAGGCTCAAAATTAGCATCAAGAAGAGACTTGTCACTGGTATGATCTAGTGGAGCCTATAGACATAAAGTAAAATATCCCAGATTATGAAAAACATTTGCTGCAACACTAAAATAAGGTAATATGCAAATGAACATATATCAACAATTATTGGGCTCAAATCATTTTTAAACAAAGATTCTGGTGAAGTTCATTAAACTACATTTGGAATTAACTCATCCACTCATGTACTGGGATGGCTAAATCCAGTGACAGTGCATACACTGACAGGCATCTCAGATACTGCCATTCCCCGATCGATGTCCAAAAAACAAAAAGGAGAAAAGGTAAAGGTTAAAGCACTCCACAAAAAAGAACTATAAACACTTGTGGTTTATGCTCTGTAAAATATATGCAATGTAGTATTTAACAGATTTTCATGAAAATCAACTGGAGGTAATTTCATATAACTAAAAACATGTTTTTATATATGAATATATTAAGAATTCCCAAATAAACAACACACTAAACAAGCCAAAATAATTATGTACTATAACAAAATGGGCACCTTTAGAAAGACCCCTTAAGGAAAAGCCTGTCCTAGTAAATGATACTTATTTTAAGTCCACTGCCAGGACCCAGGGGATCCCAGGAAGATAAAAGTGATCACCCTTTGAAAATTAAACATCTAAGATATTTAGTCTTTACCTAACTTTTTTATGTTAGAGCAATTTCAGCACTAGCTGTCATTCTGATACATTCCAACTGATGAATGTGAGATGGATCGCTATATACTCCAAGCCCTACGCACTCACACTCTAATCCAGGGGTGCTCAACCTTTTGGAGTCTCTGGCCACAATGGAAGAAAAGTTGTCTTGGGCTACATGTTAAATATACAAACACTACCAAAAACTGATGAGCAAAAATAAAAGGTCCATGCATAATTTTCATGATATCTGCCACCACAGATAGGCAAAAAATGTCCTCATATAATTAACCCTAACTATGTAGCCCGCAGACCATGGGTTGGACACCCCTGCTCTAGTCAATTGTTGAGAAAAATGTATGATGGGATGAATACCCACCCTATTCTTGTTTTAAAAAATTGTTACACTAAGAAATTTTTTTATGTTTCAAAGATATGGGGAATGTCTCCTTAAAAGGACTTATTTTATGGAAACATTTTTATTTCTTAGAAAAGCAACACTTTATGATATGAAAGTATAGGTATTGAGCCCTGGCTGGTATGGCTCAGTGGATTGAGCTCTGGACTGCGAAGCAAAGAGTTGCTGGTTCAATTCCCAGTCAGGGCACATGAATGAGTTGCAGGTCAGGTCCCTATTAGGGGGCACACAAGAGGCAACCACACACTGATGTTTCTCTCTTTCTTTTTCTTCCTCCCTTCCCCTCTCTAAAAATAAGTAAATAATTTTTTTTAAAAAGTACAGGTATTGAGGACAAAAAAATTAACTGATTTTTCCACTTGCTATTTATGTGACTTTGCGCAAGTTAAAGTTACTTCACTTCCCCATCACTCAGTTGCCTCAGCTGTAATATTAGGATGTAACATCACCTACCTTACAAAGTAGTTATAGGGATTCAATGAGGTTATATTTGTATAGAGCCTAGTATCAAAACAATACTAGATACCTAGTAAGTGCAAAAAGTGTTAGGGAAATAAAATAAACTATATGATATATTTCTTACCTCCGGCTCTAGAAATCTATGGGAAAAATAGGAAATAGTAAACCTGAAGCTACAAGAAGTTACATAGGAGGAGGAGAGATTTTGGGTCCCTTACATTCTCTGGCAGGAAATAAAAGATCAGATGATATAGTTTGAATATATAGTAGTTTTACCTCAATAAATGTGTTTATGTGTACCAGACAGTGAGTAGCTAAATGTACTAGGTTTTCAGAGAAGCATACACTCAGCATTTCATAGTAAGCAGCTGAAAATTTACTTTTAGAAATGTATAGTAGGCAAACAGGGAAACTGAGTACTTAAGAACAGCTAAAGTATAGCTTAAAGAATAACTGAAGAAAGAGAAATAGTAATCCTGACATAGAGCTATTTGAAATTATATAGATGTTAAATTAATAAACACTTTTTGAACACCTAAGGGGAATATCTATAGAGGACACAAAATTAGTGCTGTAAGGCCCTAACCATCAAAATACAGACCACCAAATGGAATGGCACAAATGAGTGACAACTATAATAAAAGGAGACTTTAAGTGGCACACTTAAGAAAAAGTGGCACTTAAGTGGCACAGCAGAACAAAAAAATGGAATAGGAAGACAAAGATAGTGAGATTACATTTAAAGTTGCATGAAGAAAGCATCAAGTAAGTCTTTTTAAAATTGAAATATAAAAAGGACTTGGGTAGACATGTATGACAGTATAGAGCTATACTTTAAAAAAGAGGCAACACTAGAAGTTATATGGTGATATAACAGGAAGTATTCAAAGTTTCAGATTAAATATTGTTTCTCTTTGTACAGTGTGTTGGACTATTAATTTTCATTGATCAATTTCAAAGGGAAAAGCTAGTTTAAAATATTAGTTCTATATTTAAAAAATATATGGAACAGAAAGCAAAATATCATGAATTTTAAAGGTGTATCAAGTTTTGATTATTCTATAGAGCCAATGAAGCTATGCCCTCCAAATACCATAGGGATACACATTTCATTTCATTTGCCATTAAAGGCATTTTCCTGAAAAACTTAAGACCAGCAACAGCAAAGGATAAAAAGAGGTAATATAAACAAAAACATGGATATGGAAAAGTATGGAAAATTGTGTTGAGAAAATAAATTAATCCAGTATCTGGGAGTTAAGGACCAAATGTAGCTTGTCTTGATTGCTAACGTAGGGAATCTGATTTTTAATTGTGGACACTGTGCAGTCACTGAAGAGTGCTATGGTTTAAGATGACTGAAGGTAACTCTAAACCAAACAGTAGTATGTGGAGTGAACCTGGACTGAGAGACAGGAAACAAAAAAGACTATTCAGAATACTAACAGTGCAATTAGAGCTAATTCAACAGTCTCCTCCACCACCATCCCATGCAAAACTGGTCAGTGCCTCCTCTTTGCACTCAGGGGAAATGTGTAATATAGTACTTAAAACATAGTAGTGTAATTATTTGTTGATACATCTGTCTCTACAACTAGATTGTGAGATCCTTGAAGTAGATGTCACGGTACCACGGAACTTCTTGATCAGAGGCTTACCACTCTATCTGTTGTGTAATCTCTGTTAACGCTGTTGTGTATATCCTATTACTCATTTCTTTCTATATACACTTTTTTCTTCTTTTCCAAAAATTAGATGATAAAATATAGATAATTCTATATACGCAATTTTTCATTTTAAAAATACAAGAGGAACATCATTCCATTCAGTAAATGCTACAAATTCTTTTGTAGTTGACACAAAATGATAGTCATATTACATGAATTAAAAAAAATGAAGGTGCAAACTTTAGGATAAGCAAATATTGAATCTAGAATGAAGGCAAAGGGATAAAGAGGGATGCAATTACTAAATTGCACATAGGCTCTTAATGTTACAGTTTTGCTCATACTGAAAAGGGTTCCAGGATTTAATATATTCACTTATAAGAACAATAAGAATGACTATATTATTATTAGCCACTTAAGATGCTTTTTAAGTGTAGGGTTTTACCATATCAGCAGTATTGATTCCATTTCCCCACACCAAATCAAAGGTTCCATTTATGTAGCCTACTTTATTGGCCACATCTTCAAAGAGCTTTCTGAGTGGAGTAGAAGCTGGTAAATTTAAAGTGATCCGTTCATTCACTGTCTTTGAATTAGTAGTATCTTGTATTATACATAAGACTCTAGGTTCTTCAGCAGCATTTTCTATCTGAAATAAAAAAAAATATTTATCTTTAAAGGAAAACAATTATAATTAGCCACATTTTCTATGATTAAATGTTTTTAAAATCCCACAAAATGTTATTTTCTTTGTGCTAGTAAATGTGTACATCAAACATATAAAGCACCATATTTGTTTGTTTTGGAGAAACTGGGACATACTTAAAAACCAACAGTCATTCTTGTGGATATTTGCTTTCACCTCTTAAGGCTGTAAATCAATGGCCAACAAGCCATGCAGACAGTATACATGAGCAATTTGCAGTTGAAAATAACAAAATCTAATCCTTAATAATGTGTCATTACCTTGCTAGCACAGTCAAATCAAGCATACCTGGGTCGCCTGAAGAAACAGAAAGGGAACTATGTAGAAATGCAGTGAGGATTGTCTAAGATAACAAAATCCATTACTAAGAGACACACAGGCAACAAGGCCTCCAGACCTTTTTGCTGCTGTACCCGTAAGCCAGATGTCCAAAAAGCCCATTACCATTGTACTGGGAGCTGACAAGGTTGTCCAAACAAATCAGCCAGCAGAGGGAGGAAGTTTTTAAAAGCAAGAAAAAAATCTTTTCAATTATCAATGTAGAAGAAAGTTAGAGTCACAAATTCTCCTTCCTTCTTTCTCAGTAATTATTAAAACAAAAAGAATTGTAAGGACATTTTCCAAAAAAAACTATGCCCCTCCTCAAGCTATTGAAGGATACCATTTTTCTTTATCACTTTCCACAGGGATCAACAGGCTACATCAGATACTTGTGGAAGTTCTTTCCCTCCTTCTCCTGTAACAGCCAATTCAATGAATGGCACCTTCATCCACCAGCTGGTAAAATCACAGAGAGCTGAACATCATCCTTGTCCTTTCCTCCTCCTCGCCAGCACACAATCACCAAATTCTTATCCGTTTTCTCTTTATTTCTGCCTGTAGCAATCAGAACCTTACACCATAATAATGGTAATGGCTTCCTGAGAAATATAACTTCTTCCAATGTTATCTTTCTTCAATCCAGAATAGTTATTTTAATATGCCAATCTGATTATGTAAATCTTGTGCTTTCCATCAAAGTCAAGTGTAACAGTCATTTTACTGGAGGACCTCTCAATATCTCCTTGATAAGTTTTTCAGAAATATGAACTGTACAAACTACTATAGTATGCAAAAATTTACTTCTTCCCTTATTTTTTTACAATATAACCTTTTGTTTCTTGTATATATACACTTTTAAATAAGAATAATTATCACTTACTAGTATTGAAAAAAGAATGGCCATAAGGTTTCTTTGTTTATTTAATGGGTTGATACAATTATAATTTGTTTCTGCCATGTACAATTTTGGGTTTGCAAGAGATTACTGAAGGTAAATTTAATCTGATTAGTTTAAAACAGAAATAAGTTGTTATAAAAAGAAGTATAATGTTTAAAACAGATTGGCTGGCACTATATTTCAGACAAATCAAAATATTTAATTACTAATAATAATCCATTTAAAAATGAAAAGGATAATAATTTCTATAAAATAAGCAGGTAACAAAAATTACTAATAGAATATGACTAATATATTAATACTTCTCACAAAGGAGAAAAAGCTTTCCCTATAAACTTAAGGTATCTTATTGAACATAGAATGAATTGTTTTACACATTTTAATCCCAAACTGAGAAATACAAAGTGGATCTTTTTAAAAACTAGTTTATAATAAAAGAGGGAGCAACTACATTTCAACTACAAAAGATCTACTTTTGTAATTTTAATAATAAACTTCAGAGGTAGATTCAAGTTTTCTGGGTTATAAAATAATACTGTGGTGGCCAGATTTTTAAAGTTTCAGATAGGTTGGAACTGATCGTCCAAATAAGATGACCTTACCTAAGAACTCAGAAATCAGAAGAGCTGACGCATTATACATAAGAATAATGATGCAGCAACATCAAATGGCCAGATGCTGACAGTTCCTAGTTCTTTCCCTAAATACCTGAACACAAGGTACAGGCACTCCAGCCTCCTCACTTTTCACCCAAATATGTGAGGAAATTATCCCCAATTGAATTTCTGAAGACTTTAATGTACAATAGTAAACACAATATTTAATTCCATGTATGCCTTTTAATCTTTTTAGTGACAAAAGTTTTCTTTCCTGTGCTTGTATATAATGCACAGCTTTCCTGTGAATTTCCTCTGCATCTGGGGGTTACAGAAGCCTTCTTGCATATTCCATCCAAAGCCAGCCACCAGCCAAATGGTGCCCAGTAATGATCCCAGATGATGCCATGTGAAGCGAAAAAACTCATGGGCTGAGTCATTGCCCAAATCCAACCTCGAAAGAACTGTGAGCAAATAATCTAGTTGTTACAAACACTAAATTTTGGGGTTGGTTGTTCCATAGCGATATATAACAAAAACACACCTAAATATAGTTAAGCACAGACAAGCTCTAACTGGGAAGGCTGGTGATGGTGGATTACTGAGGGGATCAGCAGGGAGGAAGGTGCCCATTTAAGTATACACCCAATGTAATTTAGGGAAGGGAACACAATTTTTTAGTTAAAACAGTTCTACGAGGAATAAGAAAAAATAGGTAAGAGAAAAGTGCAAAGTTTTACAAAAGTCTAAAGCATGTCCCACTAGGGAAAACATTTACTATCTTAGGGAAGCTATTTGAGAAGCACAAAGTTTTCTACACAGAAACTTCAGCCAAGTACAGAAAAGGCATAAAGCATAAAATTAAAACTACTTATTTTATGTACAATTCATAGCAATATTATACTTGTAAGAATAAGGAGAAAGTCAACACTATATATGCTAAGAGAGTGTTTTGCCTCTATGTTCACTGCAGAAACAAAGCTAGATTTTCTAGCAAAGTCTGAAGAAAGCAGCTAAAAAGTGAAAAAGAAAGAACCATAGTCTTATTTACAAAAGGTAAAAGACAATGGGATTTTTCATTGAAAACATTTTTCTTCCAAAGATTGGCTCACTGCTAGAAACATTTAGAAATGGTTGACACAGATAATTCTTCTAGGAAATCTCAGAGCCTGCTTAAGCCAATTAGTGTTTGCCTTGTGAGTCATTTTGGCTTTTCTCGGCTTTCCCAGCAGTGCTGATTTCAAATCTGAGTTCTTTGAAGCTAACATCAAAATTTTTGTTTCAAAAAAATACTTCCTAGGCGCTTCTTATTTAAAAAACAGAAAACGAGGTATATAATTCATGGTATATGTTCAGCATGGTATTAGTATGCAGAAAACAACTTTATGTCAAATAAAACGCAAAGTTAAAAAGATTCAATTTTTTTAGAGAGAAAAATTAAGATAAAGAGTTTTAAAACATTAGAAGGGACCTCTTTACCTACAAATTTAAGTCACTCTATTTTCTCTCAAAACTTTCTTCCTTTCAATGTTATTACAAAGAATGGCATTATGGTTATAAACTTAAAAATACACACACATGCACACGTTAAGTCCACCTACATAACACTTTGTATACTTTTTTAAAATCTACTTCTTGATATAGGATCTTCTATGAGCTAAGAAATTAGGACTTAACATAATACTCTTCTGAATTTCCACAGTTCATTTTTAATATACTGCAATACACCTAAAAAGAGAATTGATGGCGTGAATACTTTTGCTGATTGAAGTTTATTAAATGTATAAGCCTCATTCAGACTGTGCATTTTTACTTTAACAAGTGACAATTCTTGGTGTAGGGATGGCAATCCTAACTTATGTGGGGGGAAAAAAGAGATTAAGTTCCTCCCAAGACTCCACACCAACCATCTCAGCAAATTCTGATGTACTATGATTTGCGTCTAAATGGTATCTTCCCACAGGTGTCTTGGAGAAGACAGAAGAGGTTTAAGGAAATACACTGGGGAAAAAAACTTAGAGCTAAAGGGACCTGGAAAAAATGAGGTATTAAGTAAAAGTTAGAATGAGATGGTACATCCCAGGGAAGTTTAGGTTTGTAATGTATAACAGTCTGCCAGGAAAGTAACAGTTTTACTTAATTCTTAAAATAAGATTTCTGGGTTTGACTCTGTAAATTATTAAATGATTTAATCCCAGAACCATTAATATTTCAAAAAATAAATGTTAAAAAAAGAGAGACAACTAATACACTCAAAAGTCAAAGCAAAGGGTTCTTATGGATTTTATATCAGTTTCCCCCTCATCATATTGCTAAAAAACAAGCGTCTATCAAACACATATTTATGTAAGGTGACTTTATTATTAAAATTGGGTAGAAATAGTCAAACAAGCATAAAACTTAACACATGCCTTATTATTAAATAAAAGTACTGACATGCTGTTACTTGCTCTGCTGATTATCACACTAAAGCAATTACATCAGCAGTCTACCTGTAAAAATTTCTTCTTCATTTCATCAAAGATATTTTGTCTGCATCTCCAAAACACATCCTATAGTATACAGAGAACAAAATGAATTACAAATTATTTCTTTAAAATACAGAGGTTAAACAATGAAATGAGAACTAACCTAAAGACATCTTTTGTAAACAAGTTTTCTAGAATTTGATAGAGATTACTGAAAATTTCTGCTATAGTTATAAAGAATAATATTAACATGAAAAACAATTACATTTTTTAAAAAAGTGGAACCTTAAGATTTGGGTATAAATCAGAAATTCTAAGTCACAGAATATTTTTCCCAGTTTTAATGAGATGCAATTGACATATAACATTGTATTTGTATTACCACTATAAGTTTGGTGGTAATACACTTTAACATCCACCATCATCTCACATAGTGATGAGAATCTGACCACTGTGCTGTGTGGGAGCCAAGTAGCCACATGGAAAAGTCATGTGTAGATGTTCCAGTCACAGCTGAACATGAGATCACAGCTGGCAACCAGCATCAGCCACCATACATGTGTGTGAGAAAACATTCAGATGATTCAGGCTGACATCCTTCCAGCTGCCCAGCTGACACCTAGCAGAGCAGAAACAACCTGCCCTAGACTAACTTTGCTTCAATTAACATCTGTGAGTAAAATTCATTAAGTTTGGGGGCAAACTGTTACATAAGACAATCAGAAGAACAGTGAATGCCTCAATCTACTCCTTCTCTCACCTTCCTATAGAAAATCACAAGTGTCTTAGTATTCTTTAGTATTCTTCATTTCCTTTCCTTGTGTCAGGTTTTATAACTACCTGATATATTTGTTTATATTTTACTTCCGTATTGTCTATCTCCAAAAAAACTTCCACTATGAGCCAATATGAAATGCCAGCTTGGATTTACCCTTTCCACCTTAAACAACTAAAAATCTAGAAAAAATACACAAAGTGATAGTTCTCAAATATTAAACAACAAACAACACAGGACAGTGATCCCAGTGAAAGCAGCGACAGACAAGATAAGCCACCATCCAGGTTGCAGTGCTGAGGAGGGAGAAGCCAGGTAGAGTCCAGCAATCTCCCTGAATTCAAGAGATGAGGTGGGGAGTTCAAAGAGGCCAATTCAACTAGAATTTACAGGGCAGAATACTGAAGGGAAGAAAGCTGTACAAATATTAGGTTGGCCAAAAAGTTTGTTGGTTTTTTCCATAAGATGGCTTTAGAAGTGCTTAGTTATCTTTAATTTAATGCAAAACAATTTTGTTAGATTGTATTGTCATATCAGCATGCATTAAAAAAACTTATCAGAATTGGTGAATTTTTGTGTAGCCATTTTAATATTGAAGATGAAAGAAAATAAGCAACATTTTTGGCATATGATGCTTCATTATTACAAGAAAAGTAAAAATGCAACTGAAATGCAAAAGAGATTTGTGCGGTGTATGGAGAAAGAAGGTGCTGTGACTGACGAAACGTCTCGAAAGTGGTCTGCAAATTTTCGTGCTGGAGATTTCTCACTGGACAATGAATGTTCCACAGTCACGGAGACCAGCTGAAGTTGATAGCAATCAAACTGAAACATTAACTGAGAACTATCAACATTCTGTCACAAGGGAGAGAGCTGACATACTCAAAATATACAAATCAATAAAGTTATTGGTGAAAATAAAAAATTTGTCTTTTATTTTACATAAAAAGCTAAAGGGACTTTTTGGCCAACCCAACAGTAAACTCTAGAGATCTGTAGAGTGGTCCTCCTTTGAGTACTCAGCTGAGCACTCATCTGCATATGCATGTGAAGAAACCATCTGAAGCAGAGGGAAGAACCACAGGAAAGAATCCCTGGAACTCACTTCAGTTTCCACCAGCCAGAGTAGGAAAAAAAATTCTCATAATACACAGGGCACCAGATGAAAGCACTGCCAAGAGTGCTATCTCAGCAGTGGGACCAAATAAGGCCAGGTCTAAAGGCTACTCTGGTCTAAAGTTTAAAAGTTTAACAGCCTCAAAAGTATCAAACTGTAAAGTAAATTAGCTGCATCTGAAAACAAAGCTCAAGAATATTTATGGGAATAAAAATATCCAGTAGCCATCAAGGTAAAATTAAAAATATATGCCATCAAATAAAAAATAAACAGGTATGCAAAAAAAGAGAGAGAGAGAGAGAAAACATGGAAACTATTACTATTACCCATATTAAGGAGAAAAATCAATGAAAATCAACCCAGAAATAATACAGATGATAGAATAGATAAGCACATAACAAGTTTATAACTATATTCTGTATTTCAAGAAGGTAGAAAAGGTTGTGTTAAGGAAAAACATGGAAGATAGAAAAGACATCCAACTCAAATTTCTAGGAATGAAAAGTACAATACCTGAGATGAAATATATAATGGATGGGATTAACAAATTAAGTTATCATTGAAGAAAAAATACTGAACTCTTGAAGATACAGTAATAAAAACTATCAAAAATAAGACACAGAGGGGGGGAAAGTAAAAAAAAAGACTGAAAAGTGAGACAACTTTCTTATCAGAGGCCAGAAGTAAGTTGCTATAATGCTTTTCAGCTGCTTACAGAAAATAACTCTTAGCCCAGAATACTGTATCCCCCCAAAAATCTCCTTCAGGAACGACCCAGGATTGGGTTTAGTAGTCAAGTAGAATCCAAGACATTCTCAGATGAAGGAAAACTAAAAGAATTTGTCTCCAGTAGAAGTACTCTAAAGGAAATCTTCTAAACAAAAAGGAAATAATCAAAGAAGGAACCTTAGAACATCAGGAAGGAAGAATATGGTAAGCAAAATGTATCTAAATACAACACACTTTTCTCCTCCTATTGAGTTTTTACTAAATGGTTGTCAGTTGAAGTAAAAACTAAAGGACTGCTCGATGTAGTTACAAATATAAGCAGAAGCTGTATTTAACATAATTACAAATGAGGGAGGATAAAGAGACATAAAATAAGTTTCTACATTTCAATTTAACTGGTAAAATAATGGCACTAGTAGATTCTGCCAAGTTGACATATCTAATGTAACACTCAGAGGAACCACTAAAAAAGCTATCACAAAAGAATACAAAGAAAATCACTCTAGATAAATCAAAATGGAATTTTTTAAAATGTTCAAGTAATTCATGAGAAGACAACAGAAAAATGAAAAACAGAAAGAACAGAAAACACAAAATAAAATGGCAGACTTCAGCTGTAATACATTAATCATTACATTAAATACAAATGGTCTAAATAAACCGAATAAAAGGCCAATTGTCAGAATAGATTTAAAAACATGACCCAATTATACACTGTCTCTATGAAACTTACCACATACACACACATATGTCAAATATATGAGATTAAAATTTGTTACATGAATTTGTATATAAAATATATTTCATATAAACTATTTTATATGAAAATAAAAGGGTTGGGAAAATATACCATGCAATCATTAATCAAAAAAAGTACAAGTTAGTTTTAAGGATTAATAATCAGATAAAGTAGACCTCAAAATAAAGAAAATTATCAGAGATAGACAGATTATATAATGATAAAAGGGTCCATCCACCAAGAAGACAGCAATTCTAAATGTGCATGAACCAAAATTATAGTTAGGAGATCTCTGTCTCTGTCTCTGTCTCTGTCTCTGTCTCTGTCTCTCTCAACAATTGCTAGAACTACACACAGAATCAGTCAGGGCATGAAAAAACCAACAATACCATCAACCAACAGGATCTCATAACCAACATTTACAAAACACTCCAACCAAAAGACAAAATATACATTCCTGTCAAATGCCCAAGGAACACATAACCAAGACAGACCATATTATGGACCATAAAACAAACTTCGATAGATTGAAAAGAACTGAAATGCAAAAAACAAACAAACAAACAAACAAACAAACTGCAGAGTGTATTCTGCAATCACACTGAGATAAAAAAGACCCAAATAAATGGAGAGACATGATGTGTTCTTACATTGGAAGACTCAACCTAGTAAAGGCGTCAATTCTTCCCAAATAGATATACACTTTTTAAAAGTCACCCAATGGAGAAAAGATAGTCTTTTCAACAAATGGTGATGGAACAACTGGACATCTATAGGCAAAAATATAATAATCTAAATCTCTCGCCTTAAGAAATAATTAAATGAATATGGATCATCAATATGAAAAATATAAAACTATAAATTTTTTTACAGGGTCATAGGAGAAAATTTTCCAGAGCTAAGGCTAGGCAGAGTTCTCAGACTTAACATTGTAAGCTGGACTTCATTGAAAGTAGAAATGTTTATTTTGCAAAGACCCTGTTAAGTATGAAAAGACAAGCTACAGACTGGGACAATATATTTTGAACTACATAGTGAACAAACAACTAGTATCTAGAATATCTAGAGAAGTCTGAAAGCCTACCAATAAAAAAGCAAGCAATCTAATTAGAGTATAAGCAAAAATTATGAGAGACATTTCAATGAAAAGCATAACAGATGGCAAGTAAGCACATGAAAAGATGTTCAACATCACTAGCCAACAGGGAAATGCAAATAAAAACCAAAATGAGATATACCACACACCTATCAGAACAGCTAAAATTAAAGTGATTACACCAAATTCAACAAAGATACAAAAGAAACAGACATGAAAATTAACAAGCCCCATCTAAGGGATATATGAAGAAACTATACTTAACAACTGCTATATATATATATTTATTCTTTTAAAGCATACATAGAACATTTATAAAAACTAACCCGATACTGGTCTTCTCTATAAAGCAAGTCTCAACAAATTTCAAAGGACTGTTCTACAGAACTTTCTCTCACTATAATGCAAATAAATTAAATATCAATGACAAAAAGGAAAACCATATATGATCACAAAATTAAGAGGCACCAAATTATGGGTCAAAAAATAAATAATGGAAATTAGAAAATAGTTAGAACCAAATGATAATAAAAATATTACATATTAAAGCTGATATGGAGTATTGGGGGAAAGTCAGAAGTCTTCCAGCAGAACATGGGAATCTACATGAGAATAGGCAGAGGCAGGA